TAGTTTTTGTTGACTTTTGAATCTATACATTGATTGAGACTAGTTAGTGATGGAATTGTGACACATTTAACTTGTTAATTTGGAAAACAGGAACAGCACCAAAGAGGAACTGCTAATGGCATTGCAATGACAGGCATGTCTCTATTCAAAGCTATTGGCCCTGCATCAGGTGGTGCAATGTGAGTGTTCCTCTGATTTCTTCAGCTTTTATTTGACTTATCTCCTAGTTCAAAAATCGTGAATGTAGATGATAGAACTCTCAAGGTCTATGTTAGGAGACCTTCTTCCCTTGAATGTAGTTGAATGTTTCTGTTTTTCATTCAAATAAAACACTTACAACCTTGCTGATGTAATTTCGGTGTCGTGATTCTTAATCTGAAATAAATATTTAGGTTCCTTGTCAGGAAGAAACCTAACAGTATATCTCTACAATGGATTAATATTTCAAATGATAAATGCTGTAACACCTGCATATTAATCTAGTTCATTAGTTCCTGAACTTCATGTCAAGAAAAAGGTTTGATATTTTGTTTATTGTTATTTGTTGTATAAACAATGATATCAGCATTTACAAATAATTACTCCTCATACTTTGATAGGTTTCTAGAAAACGCAACCTATCTTTCACACTCACGAACACACACAAAAAGAACTCATATAGAAAAGAATGGTGTTTCTTTATTATCAAGGAACACTATACAAGCAATTTGGTCTATACGGGAGCCTAATCCCCCTCCTCACGTCAAAGTCCTGACTTTACAAAAGAATGCTAACTACTCAAACAGAATTACATGAGCTCTATTTATAACCATACTCTCCTCCTTTCCCTCCTAACTTGCTCCACTCTTCTTCCTTCTCTCGTAGACTTTCCAGCCCCTATCATAATTACAAATACCCCATCGCCTGATTTGTTTAGCTTAGTTTAGGAATATAATTATATATAATCAATTCATGATTTGCTTACTTGTTCTTAGGAGAACAAGTCATTGTGATTAAAGGGATAAAATATTTCTTGATTCAAACTTCATACTAAGTTCCTTTATTATCATATGGTTCTTTCTTAGCTATATATGTTTGTGAAATAGATTGAAAGATATATGATATCAACATTGAGATAGCCACACCAAAAAAGCTAACAATTGCAATTGGTTTTTAACACCACACCATACTTCCCATCTCCAACACCCACATGAGTTGGCTGTGCAGTAGCATTTCTGATTATTTCTTAGAGAATGGTAGAAGGTTTTGATACCAATTGATACAGTTGATACTGATAATCCACTATGATCCATTAGCATTTAACTATTTGTTTCATTAGTGGATGATTTCAGCCACATAATTTCCATCTCCAATTTTCTCATATGATGATGGTCAATGCAGATTAACTTGGTCACAAAAGCGGATGGATTCTTCCTTCCTCCCAGGTATGATGCTCAACTAGTTTATCTGTGCTGGTGTCTATTCTATATATGAAAGATGGGAACCCTTTGTCTAAATTTATGTCAAGGACACTTTCTTTTCACATTCAACAACACGAATTCATTTAGAGCATTTGTTCTTACCAAATTGCAGGCACACATATGGTGTTCTTCGTCTTGAACATAGCTGAAGCAGTTGGATTATTAATGATCTTCAAACCATTCCTTGGTGAGAAAAAGAAACCTGATCAATTACAGTGATAGCAATCAACAAGAAGTTTGACATCATTAATTGGAACTATTGATTATGAACAAATCTATATCGATGGCAACAATTCAATTTGTAACTTCTCGTTAGAGAAAAAGGAAAAGGCATCGAAGATAAAAAGAATAAAGGAGACTGAAAAAGTGAAGAAATGTTGTATGTTCTTTTCTTTTACAGTTGAAAATGACCTGTGGCCACACATTTGACCCCTTTTTCTGCAGAGATGTTGAATTGCATTCACCACGATGAACAAATGAGTCATTAAATTGTTTTTGTTATGAAAACATTAGTCATTTTCATTAGTTTATAACTTAAATGAAAAACTCATGTACCATAATTTGTTTTTATTTCAATCCAAAATGTTTTTATATTTATGTACTTATATATTGATGTTTGTGGTAGATTTCATTCTCTGCATAGTAACACAATACAGAATCTTTCAATAAAATATTATAATGTTATTTTACGATATTTTCTTAAATTATATTTATTATGTTCATCACTACAGTGATCTCTTTTACCGGATGTATAACCCCTTTTGTTATAAAAGGTGAGAGGAAGAAGAAAATAATCTTTCTTTGTTTGGTTGAAGGAGATTGTTTTAAAAAAGTTATTAAACTATTTTTTATCTATTTATATTTGCCTCTTTATCTCTTCTTAATTTATAATATACTTTCAATTAATCATTTTTTAAAACATTTTATAAAAATAATAAATAAGTAAAAAGATTACCAATTTATTATTTTAATATTTTTTTATTTTTCTTCATATTTTATATTAACTTATTTATAATAATTGATATCAAATTTGTCATCTAAAGCCAAAAACTGGATTAAAAGGCATAGGTGTCCATTACTCATAGCATTTAAAGTTATTCTAGAGACTGGATGAGTTTCTTGATGGTCTTTCCTTATCTAAGTTGTGTTGTTCGCTCTCTCTCATCCTTCTCCAAGCCGTGTGGGAGGGTACCTGCAAAAGGCACTCCAACTCTCAAATGAATGACTTTGCGTGATAATATTTAATAGAAAGTGATATTTAGAATTGACTACCTAACCTTCCTGTCAAACATATATTTATAAATATTAAAATGAGTTTACTCTTAAGCTTGACCTATTACCAATAAATGATTAATATTTTTATTAACTGTCAATAAGTTGAAACTACCTCAACGGCTATCTTAACCAATTGATTAAGAGTTGTTAATTGTTTGTTTGTCCAGTCCATTGGCTTGACAGGTATCCGTACCATACACATGCCCCCCAAGCCCAATCAAGCTTTTTATTGGAAGAGGATTGTAAGGATTATTATGAGCTTGAGAGAGGTCGTTCACGTGGTATTAAGGAGTTTGTGTTCACTGCTCGGTTAATACTAGGCCGACCGACCATATTGACCGATCAACCACTAGGCCGACCAGGCCGACCACTCATATCGATCGATTGACCACTAGGCCGACCGTATGGTTAGATTATAAGTAGTGATAACTCATTAACATCCTAATGTAGGTTAAGGTGTCATTGGGCCGTTATTAGGCCAGTGAAAGATAAAAGCTCATAAGTCCATCACAACTAGTATAAATAAAGGTCTCATGTATGACTTTAGACAGGATGCACTATATACATGCATTACTTACCGCTCGATTGTATTACTAACTTGAGCGTAGGAGTGCCTTTGACAGGTGCCCGGCTTGGAGAAGGAGAAGGACGACCACCTGGAGTGCATGGAGAAACGTCTGATCGATCGTCATCCTAGTGCCTGGCGCAGCGTCCGTCCGCCCTAAGCCTCGCCCGTCCGATCTTCAATAATGCTTAGTCCGTCCGGTTTGCAAGGTTCACCCAATCTTCAAGGTCCATTCGACCATCAACACAACCTTAAATATTTCGAGTATAGGACGTCAACTCAATATCCGAAACATTAATTATTATAATAATTTTGTTAAATCCAATTTAATTCCATACTTGAATCCGATAAGAAGAAAAGTGTTCTTACTTATTTGAACACTGTAATAAAATAATTGCACATGCTAGTCACAGGATATATATATATATATATATATATATAT